CACTGCACCAGTCAGAAGAAAGGGAAGAGCAAGGCTCAGCTCCACACAGCTGGGGTTCAGCAATTTCTATTCAAAGTTGTAACAAGCTATATAAAGCTTTCCTACTAGTTTAATCCAGCTATAAAACACAGTTTCCATTACACATGTGCATCTCTGCATTCACACAAGCCTTACAGACAGCAAAAAGAGGACTGAATTGCAGAGAAAAGATGAATACGCATCACGCAGATCACTTTGGTGTTGTTTCAGGCTTTCCTTGAAGACTTGCCAGGTTTGCAACTTTCAGGATAGACTTATGAACAAGATCACAAAGCCTGTTTTATGCTGTGTGCACCGGGGTGTGATTTTCAAAAGGACTTTCTTAAGGACTTACACTCTTCTGTGGGATGGACTGCCCGCTATTCAGCCTGTCTCCTATGGCAGCTGACTTCACTGATGCTGCAAACAGGACAGACCAATTCAGGAGAGCACTTAAAGATTCAGGCTACTGTTCAAGGCAGAAAGAGCTGCAATGTTTAAGTTTGGCACCTACTTTAGGTATGTTTGAAGTCCCTGCCATAGAGGCCTAAACCTGTCCTGACTTGGAAAGCAACACCAATCTTATGTGTTCAAACTGGGCTTCCGCTACATAGCTTGTAATTTATTATTTGCACATAGTCCCAAAGAGTTTATTAAGTTACTTCATCACAGGTAGCACCACAAAGGTAGTGAAATGCCTCAGGGGCCAATGAGTGGGGCTACTGCAAACCTTTTCAGCCAGATAGAGTCCTATATCAAGGCATTCATCACCCACATGACAGAACAGGCAGTGGATGAACGGAAGGAAACATCATTGCCTCTGTTTGGTAGTAGGGATAGGGAACTGAGATAACACAAATTCATTGATTAGTCCAGGCGGGGTGTATGTAGAAGACCTGGGATTTGCCCTGGAGCTCTGGGATCCCAGTTGAAAAAGCCTTAATCATGCGACCATCTTTATCAGGTCACTCTACAAGCACTATGCATTTTTTTTCTGCAGTGCCAGCCGCAGTCTCTTGCTGAAGTTTGACTTACTAGAATTAATGGCACATTGCCAAAAATTGCAGCGGGAAGAGATTAACCCACCTCCCCTTGAAGTAAAATTACAGGTGCCTTTTAGGCATAAACCAAACTTCAGCTCTTTTCTACAACACACAGCTTCACTTCACTAATTCTTAAAATTACTTTGGAGGTTTTTACATGTGGATCCTTACTCCCAGTGCCAGCAGGTGGGAGATGAAGCATCCAAAAATCCTGATCGTTCAGAAGATTTTTGTATATCCTCTAGACGCCAGCGCTGAACCTCTTTTTTTTCCCTTTGAGCTAATGCTTCAGTAGCTGCACCTTGACTTTCAAATGTATTAACTGAGTTGCCAATCATCATTATTATTTTTTTCTTGGCAATCTCCCAGCTTTACTTCAGCAATCCTCTTGTCCCTTTCAAACTCCAAAATCCACACTGCAGAAAAATCACAGTTTAAAGAATGAATCTTGAGGGGTAAAAAATAATATCATTCTAAAGGAATAGCTGATCCCACAGGTGAGATTTGCTTGGTCACAGGTCAGCCTTTCGCCAGCTTTCCCTGTCATGCCAATGACCTTTAGCCTCGAAAACCAGGACGATTTCTTTTAAACTAGGCATGTATGATAGTTCAGCCAACTTATTGGATTCCCTGGGGGTCTCTTCAGGGGGCCCTTGCAGCGGTTTCCAGTGCTTTCCAATGCATCAGGCAGGTAGTCATGCCTTCCTTTTCCTTGAAGATTCAGCTTGCACACAACAGAGTAGGCTACTGACTAAGCCTACGTCCCACAGGAGCAAGGCCAAATGTTACCAAACAAACAGCTATTAGTAGATTTCTAATACGCACCATGACTTCATCTCTTGCATGACTTAGTTTCTTGCACAACTTGAAGAAAATATGCAAACCATTCTTACTAACACCTTGTTCATGGTTAACCCCAAATCCCCAGAACTTATTGAATACAATGGCCTCAGATCAAGATAATGTTCCTCTGAAACCTGAAGTCCAGCAAGTCTGGATAAGCATTCAGGTACTGAAGTCCTTTTGCCCAGCCTCAGGACTTAAATGTGTTAAACTGTGTTTTCAAATGTTGGGGCTGGAATCCATCCCCCCCCTTTTTATTTTTTTTTTCCCAGATTGATGAATAGGTTTCTTTTCAGATATCCTGGAGGAGAGTTTTCATTCTAATCAGCCTAGCTGTGAGGAAATGTGACACACTCAGCAGCTATACTATCTAGATTCTTATAGAAGTAGAGTTATTTCTGAATGAAAAAGGTTTAAGTTAACAGAAGAAATTACACTGGGAGACTGCTGGAACTACACTTTATCAAGACAGAATGAGGTCTTAGGACCCATTCTAAATTGCTGAATTAATTGAGTCTCCTTGTACTATGGGTGATTCAACTAGGCGAACTAGTGAAAAAAGACTTGAAACAGCTGGTGGAACCTGGGGGAATCTCTGTCACTTGTAGCTTTGGGGATGGTAACTTCTCAGGACTGTTGTTCCCACTGTCGAGTAGGGCAGGCTGAAAAATACTGTTCCCAAGAAAATTGTTAGGATGGCAGTATAGGCAGTATAGAACTGTGGAACTATCCGAACCAATTCATCATATCTAGTCGCTTCAGCAACTTTCGGATTTAGACTTTTAAGCCTTTATGTGTGCATGCTGTCCTTGAAATGAAAAGGAACAATATCTTCTTTCTACTATTCAAGCCTTGCCCTTCACATGGTTAAGCATCTAGACAAACATTGTAAGAAAAGGGGTTAAAAATAAAGAAAGTGCCAATGTTTTCTGACTGTGCAGCATTGTTTCTTTGTGATAAAAGATTCTTTAGAAGACATTCTTTGTGGAACAGAGGTTACTATGAATACAAATGACCACTCCAGTGAGATAAAGAGGTGGTTCTGGAATGGTATAGTCAAAAGGAAAGAAAAAAGAAAAAATGAAGGTGGCTAAAACAAATAGTAATTTTAAGAATTGCTAAAAGATTGAAGGAAGAATCACTTTTCTGTACATAAAAAAATAAAATAAAAACTTATCTCACTTACTTTTAATTTTACAATGTTTTATACCCAATAACTGTTTTGGTTTAATGCGAAGTTCCCTTTATTGTCAATAACAGAAGAATTAAATCCACTTGCTTTACCTGAGAGTGTAATATTGGAAGAAGAAAGCTACAAAATTAACTTTAGGACAGGATGACTCTTTGTATGCAGAAGGCTGGATCAACTCCATTAAGATCAAGAGGATGATGAATGGTAGAATGGATGAAGATGGACAAGTACTCAAGTGGATTCCCATCACTAAATTTTGAGTCTGTACACAAGACAGTACTGGGATTACTACTGTTATCACTGGGGAGACTCAAGCAACCACATTATAACAATACAAATAAACTGAAGTTTTTTGAGGTGGAAATCTCTGATATCAAAACATTTGATAGAAAATTCCCTTTTCACAGAAGAAAACCAAAGATGCTTTCGTATTTGTGATGTTACAAAAAGAATGACCAGCATAGCTCTGCTCTAAGCATGCGTATGTTAAATCTAGCTAAACTGGTAAATATGACAGTTCAAAACATCATTACTCCTGTTCTGGAGTGCAGGCTGTGGGTATTTCTGGCTCTATCTTACTGTTGCTAATTTTAATGACCACTCTGTAAGAGTGGACACAGGCAAGGTAAAATGATTAGACATTCATAAAAAGCTCTGATTGCTAGCAATGCAATCTGCAGAGATCCACTATCTCAGCTTCAACATTTACTAGTGACTTCCAGAAAATTAAAGCCCACATGATTAGCCAAGCAAAAATTATGCTGCCCTTTACATGTTTTATTGTTTCATTTTTCTTCCACGAAAAACATTAAATCTCCCCTCAAGAGATGCTGCAGTAA